GTTCTTAGTATAATATATATCCTAAGGGAATATGTTGGCAGAAATGGAATATAATTTATTACCAGAATTTGCCCGTTAAAAACCTCTTGAACAATGAATACTGAAGGAATTCTAACCAGAAGAAGTTTCAACTGGTTGCAATTCTGCAATCCTTACTGTCAGACACTGTTTGAGAGTAACTGCTCAGCCAATATTTGTGGTTAATAAATGAGCTCAAAAATGGGCCCTATATGGGATTGTCCATGGGTTCCATAATGGTCCCATGCCAAATGCCTCCATCGGTGGGTTTACCCAAATGGGCCCCACATGGGTAATGCTATGGCTACCTGGGTACCAAGAGGATATAGGCCCAAAATGGGCATCTTATCCTGGACCCACTTGGGTAAAACCACCCATGTGGGCAATAGGCATGAGGACATTGTGAAACCCTTGGACAATCCAATATCGGGCCCCTTTTTCAGCTCATTTACTAACCACATGGGGCCCACATACAAATGGTGACTGGGTAGTTACATGTAACAGAGTTATGCAACTAAAATACAAAATAAATGTGACTGTAATCTAACTAGTGATCTGTAACCTATAATATTTCAAAAGTAACCTACCCAGCACTGCTGCTAGATGCCACTAAATCTACCTAAATCTTACACACTGTTAGTTTAATACATGAAACATTATTTAGAGATACATTTACCAACCAATTCATAAACTGCTGTATTTGCTTCAGCTATTAACACAACCTGCAAGAGTACATCAAATTCATCATGAATGTCAAACAAAAATGAGTTTAAATAGATTTGAGTTCCTCAATTTAAAACAATGATCTACTTTTTACTGTGCTACATTTGTCAATTATGCCTTTGCTACAACTGGTAGATTAATTAATGGGTGTGATCGTAAATCCAATCCGACTGTCGACACTAAAATGAGAATTAAGTTAAGCACATTCACTGCGCTGTTTGTGCCAGAGTGCCCATTACTTTAAAGGTCATCATAACAAACTTTGCACCGCGATGCCGAATGCATTTCCACAAATACCATTTGATTTAAATGATGAATGGTCGTCAGAAGACGATGAAGGGAAGGAAAGAGGCCTGTAACGTCACTGCAAACGGTGTATGCATTCATACATGAGCTGATGTCGCAGTTGTACTGTCTGATCCAGCCGTTAACTCACACATGCCACCAAAGCACCTGCCAACAGACTCGGCGGTCACGTGTAGACCAAGAAAGGATCAAGCTAGTGTGCAGGAATGTTTGAGTTGCTTGGCAACTGTCCAGTTGTGATAATATTTGTGTTGGGGGAGCCAAATAAATTATAAGAAACATAAGCTGTTGTCGCTTATTATTATTAACTTATAAGTGGCACTTGAACTGTTGTGTAAAGCAATATCATACCCCAGGGATGCGTGATTTTGCCAAGTAGGACATGCTCCTGGATCAACATCCCACATCACATTCAAGAACCAACATTGCAATCAACCAATCACAGCCCTCTGACATCATCAGCGTGCTGCTCCTGTGCTTCTTTCAAAATCCCTTTGTGCTTCTTCAGAGCTACAGAGCTACTTAACAAAAACTGTATGAGCTACTGCAGTGTTAGCAAGCTAGCTTCCTCACTAGGTTGGCTATGCTAGTGGGTAAACTTGCCAATAGACTAGAATGTTAGTGAGTTAGCTTGCTAACTATATGCTATGCTAACAAGTAGCCTAAGGATACTGTCATTTTGCATTTGCAAAGACCTGTGAAGCACACATTTTCCCTTCTTTTTAACCCTGCATAATTTGTTGAGATTAATCTAGGGAAATCATTGCCATGTTGATTCTGGATAACCTGTTTATGTTAATTCAGGACTATCATCACCATGGTGACTCTGAATAATTTGGTTATATTGATCCAGGACCACCATTGCCATGTTTATCCTGAATAGAATCACTGATGTTGGTATTGACATACAATCAGCATGATGATGATGGTCTTAAATAAACCTGACCAAATCAATCCAGGATTAACATGAAGAAAGGGAGGGAAAAGGTGTTTATCGCTGGAACTTGAAACTGAAAAACGCTAACGTTATTATTCTCACTCTTTTTTAGTGAACAATATTCTAGCCTAATGGCAAGCTTATCTGTTAGCACAGCCGACCCATTCAGCAAGCTAACTCACTAACATTTTAGCCTATTAGCATAGCTTACCTAGTTAGCAAGATATTTTGCTAATATTCTAGCCTATTGACAAGGTCACTTGTTAGCATAGCCTACCTACTTAGAGAACTATTTTGCTAATATTCTAGTCTATTGCAAAGCTTACTTGTTAGCACAGCATACGTACTTAGCAAGACAGCTCGCTAATATTCTCATCTATTGGTAAGTTTACTCATTAGCATAGCCAACCTAGTTAGCAAGCTAACTTGCAAACCCTATACTAGCTTACAAGGTTTTTATTTATTGTTACTGAGGATTTTGTTCAACTGTACATTACTAACTTCAATTTGCAAAACTAGCTTAGCACTGAAGAAGCACAAAGGACACTGATGATATCAGAGGGCTGTGATTGGTTGATTGCAATGTTGGTCCAGGAACACGATGTGGGATGCTGATCCAGGAGCATCCTACTTGGCAAAATCATTTTGTGTCCTTAGGGAATGCTGTTGTACTGAGTATGAGCACGGTTGTGACTTTTTTTTTTTTATTAGCCTACCTGCTGTTCTTCATTTAAAAAAAAATGTTTTATCAAAAAATGCTGTTTTTATAATTATTTATAATTTCATTATTTTGCACTAGCTTGCCCTCCCTAAAAATATTAGAATGGAAAGTAACTTTGAGTAATTTATCAACCAGGTACTTTTTTACTTTCACTTGAGTAAGTTTTTCAGATGATAAATTTATATTTTACTTGAGCAATTTTTTTTATTGTCGTAATTGTACTTTTCCTTGACTATAGAGTTTTAGTACTTTACCCACCACTGCCTGTAAGTAGCAAACTGTTTGTTATAGGCTAGGCTGAGATTAAGCTGCAGACGACAGTCTGACTTTGTGACGACTGCAGCAGCCTTCTACTCCAGCTAACTATCCATCAGTTGTATCACCAGCATCATTAATCAATGACACACTGACAGAGAATATTCACTCTGGATTCTTCATTTTTGTTGTCAATCTGTTACACAATTTAGCTCTTTGGCATTTTCCTGCCTCCCTCTTTATTTGACAGAATGATTTTTATCCCCTAAAAATGCAATTGTGCCTTAACGACTAGTGCTTGATGATGCAATGCTGGTCTGGTCGTTACCTGCTTAACATCATCATGTTAGCACTGCCATTGCAAGCATGTTAGCAGGCTAACATTAGCTGTGATTCTAGCATCACTGTCTTATTATATTACCTGTAATATTATAAAAGCCTGTGACTTGTGTTAGGTGACCCTAACTGGCCTGGGGTTAAACAGACACTACAATCACAACACTAAATGCACATAGGAGAAGGTTTTTTTTTTTAGGAAATGTATTTATTTTAACGTGAACCACAATTATTTTCCTAACCTTAACCAAGGAATCCCTTTCTGGCACAGAGCCCCACAGAAAAACTTGGCCCAATAGCACACCAAACTATGAAGTGTTGCTATTCATGTCCATATTTTACTTTATAATCATTCCCTTGTGAGAGAACTCATTGATATTTTAAAAGGGCTGTGTTAATTTCACATAATGATTTGAAACCAGTGGTTGCAGCAGGTGAATTAAAAGACAAAGTGTGACTGTGTTCCATGATTGCATGTCTAACTGGAGCGCATAGGCCTAAGTGGATGTCTTTCTTTCACAGCCCCCCTGTCCCTCGGCCAAAAATGAGAACTAAACAGCATTCTTCATTGTCCTCTCCCCACAGCCCTCAGCTCCCATAGAGATTTAACTAGCTGCCAGAGCCTGACCAGGCACCCTTGGGGAGCCTAGAAACGGCAGGCCTACCCTGAAATGCCAAGGGTGTCACTGTGTCCTGTCAGCCTGGATTAGCTCTCTCCTAGCAGCTTCTGCAGCCTTGTTAGTGTGGGTGTTTGTGTGTGTGTATGTGTGCTGAAATAAAAGAAAGAAAGCAAAGGGGGATAAAAGAGGAAATGAGAGAAAGTGTGAAAGAAAATATGGGTAGTTATGGTGAAATAGCCATTTAGCATCCGCCTCGAACAATATTCCTCTCATCACATTTATAGGTCAACTGCTGCTTGAAAGAAAAAGAAAATATATTTCATGATATTGTTTTGCCCTCTTTCAGCAGCAATACTCATGAACAATATCTATATTTTTGGTGCAGCGCGGAACATAATGAGACGACTGAATGCAATAACAAGGCTTATAATCAAGAGAGCACATTGTGTTGTTTATCAGGTTTTCATCTGATTTCAGGAAAACTTTCTTTGCCAGCTCTTTCAGCTCTCAAATGATCTGAAGTTTACATTTGAGCCATGTAAATGCAACATTGTGTTGTGGCTGAATTTAAATTTAGCCCCCGGCACTCTTTGCCGTCAAGCCTTCTAGCCAGGATCACATTGCAGATGAGCAGTTATTGTACTTCCATCATAAAACTCCATCTGTCCCTCAGGATTGGTGCTGGCAAGGGGAAATCTCCCACCTCGCCTTGTAAATAGCCAATGAACCATTTGAATCCTATAATTCTAATTTAGGGATTGCTTGTGTGTGACAAGGGCGTTAGAGCACTGGGAGATAAAAGACTCTCCCAGGACCCATTAGTCCCCCCTACCATGCCTTTAATCAATGGGCTAATGTTTACTCTGCTTAGTGTGTCATTTATAATTAAAACTAGTACTGCTCATTAGTGTCCAACGGGCCCAAGGTAATAATTTAATTCATAAAACATCAGTTACGTCCTCATCCGCTAAAGGCGCGGCCATCAAATGGCGATACCACAGATAAACTTGCCGTCATTGGTTTAATGAAAATTTAATGACTTCTGAGGAGTGTGCGATGAATTGCAGAAGAGATGAGTGTTTACCGTTTTTACAGATGGGGCAGCATTGCTCCGGCTCGTACACAGGGTTGACACACTCTGGGACGGCGCAGTCGGACACCACACAGTGCACCTCATTATTTGGTTCGCAGCGGCACCATTCACAGGGTGACGGCTGTGGGAAGGGGGGGTTGGAGGTGGGAGAGGAGAAACGGGGAATCTGGGTTAGATGATTCAGTGGGTTTCACCTTTATCAGTGTGTGTGTGTGTGCTTTACATGATTACCACTGGTCAGTTGAAGAGACAGCCAAAACCCGTGCTGATTTTACTCAGTTAAAAATGCTCTTATTACATGCATCTCGTACTGTCTTCATAAACAAAGAAACAAGCTAATAAATTATTCACAAGGCCAGTTTTATTTGCCTTCTTGCATCTCAACAAACACAGCCTGTAGCTGACGTTGAATAAAATCACCAGAAATAACTAATAAGGGAGTCTATAAAGTAGTGTTCATGATATTTAGTATTTTGCTGCATTCTGCTGCGGCCTGCCTCGGGAAACAGTTCAGAGGCTTATCTTACCACCTCTGCAACATGTAAATCAGTGCTATGCAGCTCTCCGTGCCACTGCCTCTTACTTGACTCTATCTTTACAAAGTCCCTTGACCGGAAAATGAACTGTAATGCAATTACATGGAGTGGAAAAATACAAACTGTTTCCATATCACGAAAGGTCAACTGTTCATCATATTAGATTTTCTTTCTGCTCATCTAGTAAACAGTCTTTTGAGGGCATCTCTGCTCTATCAGCGACTCAGCACTCTGTAAAAGCCTTTGAGGGTACAAATGTTTCATAATTGATAACCTTTGATAACCATGTTTTTTTTTTTAATTTGGTAGTTAGGTAGGTCAATATATGTGTAGAGCAGCAACTGCAACCAAGAAAAAAAAAAGATTCAGATGAGTCATAATAAACTGGGTGAGTTATCTGCAGTCCACAAATTTCCTAAACCGCTGCAAGTCAATATTCAAAACATCTATTTAAATTCAAAACCAGTGACGCAAATGTTGACTCTTGACTGATATTTAGATGACTAATAATGTGCTTTCATGTTGGATATATAATGCTGGTATGTACTCCAGACAGAGTTTGGCATTTTGGGAAGTATGCTATTTGATTTCTTGCTGGGAGTTTGATCACTCTGAAATCTGTATGGTAAATACAGTTAGCTTAGATTAATATAAAGGCCAGGGGATAAAAGCTAGACATGCTCTGTCCAAAGATCTAGCAGTATAGAGTCCGCCAGGAATGAGTCCTAAAACCTGGAAAATGATTTAGCATTTTACCACTCCTGGTTCCCTAGTCTCAAAGTCATTGGGTTGTTTGAATGGGTTTTTGGTTAGATGTGTGAAGTAAGGTCTGTCAGAGGTCTGTCGCGTTTTGTTCTCCAACATAAAATACGTCAGTAAATACCCCACTCATGAACTTTCCTACTTGTTTCAAGACTTTATGCTAAGCTTCGCTAGCTATTCCTATTCCTATTCCTAGTCCTAGTCCTAGTCCTAGTCCTTTTCCTATTCTTATTCCTGGTCCTAATTCTGGTTCTTAAAATGCCTGAGGTTGTGCTGTGTAATTACTGGCTATTGACGTTCTGGAGCGCCGTGTCAAGTTCTGCCTGTTACATGCATTGTCTTGTTTCAAAATACTTTCAAAATAAACAGACTACGTCAGTACAACAACACAAATTGACATATTTTTTCCTCCAACGACTAACGCACATGGTTAGGTTAAGGAAAAAAGAAAAGGGTTGGCTTTTAAATCTTATGGGACACAAACACCACTCTCCCGGACGAAAGTCGGTGCGTGTTGGACCCATCCACCACCCCTCCCACCCACTCCACTCAGGCTTTCACTGTTTTAACTTTCATTTTTGTTGCGTTTCCCGCTGACACCATTAAACTACAATGGTGACTCGTTGCATATCATCAGAGGATGGCGTTGATGCCTGAAATAAGGTCTGTGGTTCTCTGACATAAAATACATCAGTAAATACCCAACTCATGAACTTTCCTACTTGTTTCCAGTCTTTATGCTAAGCTTTACTAGCTATTCCTAATCTTATTCCTATTCCCAGTCCTAGTCCTAGTCCTTAAAATGCTGGGTGCTGTGCTGGGTAATGAATCCTTGTTTTGTCATTATGCCATTAACTATCCCAAACGGCATTAGTTCCAGACAGTTTGCTACATTTCCATCAACTACAGCTGAATTGTGGCAACAACAACAAAAACAGTTCCACTGTTCATAAAGGGAAGGGCTGTGGTGCTCCTGGATGCTTTAAAGTGACTTTTATCAGCCAATTTTGACAGGATGCATTAAGTAGCACAAAGTGGGAAGTAGCCAGGCTTGTCTTTTTATTGGAATTTATGGCAGTCTGGATGCACTGCAGCCATAAATCGAATATGAGCAACATCAAAAGATGGAGGGAGGGGGTGGGGTGGAGTGTGGGGCTGTAGAGATTAAATTGAACGCATAACCCATTCTCTGATTGTGGCCATACTTTCTTGACTTACTATATGTCGAATGAGAAACGAAGAATCAGAGCAGAGACAACTCAGACATCAACTTGACACTATTCCCTCCTATCATTCCCCTCACAGACAATGTATAAAACTGTCTCAAATGTAAAAGATATACTTCCTGATATACCAGACAACTGTCCAGTGGCATTAAAAGTTAGGATGTGAAACTGTCTCAGATTTGACGCTCATAAAGGGAAACAAAGTAAAAAAATAGGACTCTTTAAAAGGGAATGAATAAGTACAGGAACAGTGGCTGCTTTTATGTGTGGAAATGTCTGTAACTTGTTAGTGTGCTGGTATAAAACCGGTGTTTTGTATTGCTGGTTTTAAAGATTCACACTCTTAGTGATGTTAATGATGATAGATTTCATCTGCTCATTCACTGTGCCTGTTGCATATTTTAGAGCTGCCGCTCCCTGATTTAAAACACGTCTTTTCTTTTCTAATGTAGCTGCGCTGAAATAAAAGAAAAAAGCTTTTAAGAAATACACATATAGATGGAACCTGAACATTTATAACTATTCTCATTAGACATTCCTGTCAGAAATTCCTCTCATATCTTACCCGCACAAGTAGTTGACTCCAGTGCGCTCATGTAAATAAACCACGGCAAAAATATTTCCCGTTCGCAGAGTTAAACACCCTTACAGCTATCTTCCCCTCTGTCAGTTTGAGCGCTCATACAGAAACGTACCAATTACACAGCAAGTTGCTGTCTCATACATATGGAAGATGGACTACATTTTGCCAACCTGACAGACTCAATCTGTGGGGGCTGGCAAGGTAGGATTCAGGGTCAGCAGTGAAGCATATAGTGCCGTGTCTGACACTTACAATCTCGATTCAAGGTGTCATGCCTGCATTTCGGCTCAGGTTTCTGATTCTGCATGTTTCTCTAACAGTGGCGTATTAAGCTGTTCGACAGTATTTAGCATCAGTTTGGCAACATGAATATGTAACGCTCACTTAGCTTTGTTGTCCATGAGCTTTTTGGGTTGAGTGAAGATGAGATACCTTAACCTTGGGCAACATATAAAATCAATTACACCTTCATTTAAATTTACACTGCCAGCAGCAGAAACCCAGGTTCAGTCGAGATTATGTAAGGTAATAATAAATATGTCTTGTCTGGGAATTGAAGCAACAGCAGTTTGCAATAATGAGCTTCATATTGTGTATTTATGACAGTCTTTAAATGGATGCACACTGATAGAATCCCAGTGTTTTTGCATGTAAACATCATATCCTGGTTTCAGAAACCTGTATGACCTGCTTTCTGCAAAAGCCAGTATGTTAGCTTGAGCACTGCAATAGAAACTGAGATACTACTAGTTGGTGGCACCCCTAAAGGGAGCCAGGAAGGGCCATGGCACCTTGATGCAATTGCCCTCCTGGCAAAAAATTGGATAATAATTTGATATTACTGTCTTTAAATTGCTCTTGCATGCTTTGTAAGCTAGCAAAAATGTAGTGTTATCTTGTGAAACTAGACAACCTAAGGCATCCACTGGTACCAACCATGTCGGCATGCCTTGTTAGAAAGGGGGCTAAATTATGCTCCAAGGTTAGGCTAAATGTGGCAAGGGAACAATTGGCATGGCCATTTTCAAACGGGTTCCTTGATCTAAGGCATCTAAATGAAAATGGCTTCGATGGGTACCCATGAGTCTCCCCTAAACTTCAGAAGGCTTGTTCTTTTGAATCAGTGTACTCCTCCAAACTAAAGTTGTGTGTTGGTCTTTTTAAGGAAAAGGACAACCACCCTATTCACCACATTCTCACTCCGACCTTGTCACGTATCAACGTTTGGACATGGATCTTCCATGTCCAGATACGACATGAACGGTACCCTTGGTGCGTTGGCTGTGGATGTTCTAGGATGCTCTGTCAAGTTATGCCTGTTACATGCATTGTCTTCTTTTAAAAATCACTTCCGTTTTCACAGGAAATTTAACATTTGCATACAGTCTCTTTCAAGGTAAATGAACTGCATCAGTACAACAATGCCAACTGACGTTTTTTTCCTCCCAACAACAAACACACATGGTTAGGTTTAGGCAACAAAAGCATGTAGTTGGGTTTTGGATAAAAGAACAGGGTTTGGCTTTATAATCTTACGGGATGCATGCACCGCTCTCCCAGGTGAAAGTTGGTCTTTGTTGGACCCATCCACCACAACTCCCCCCAACCCTTCTTGGACTTTCGCTGGCTTAACTTTTGTTCTTGTCCCATGGCGTTTCACCCTGATGCCGCTGAGTGCTGTTAAACTATAACAGCAACCGCCTGCATATCATGAAAGTGTTAAAGGACATCTTTTTTCATCAGTGTCTGATGCGGCAAGTCACTGCCCAAGCGCTGGATTTTGACGATTCTGGAGTGAGACCGGTTTAGCCTATTTAAAGAACAATGACTCACTTAACAAATGTATTAACATAACACATTAAAACAGGATGGTTGTGGAACTCAAAATGTTAACTGTACCAATATTAGTCGATGCACGTCAGACAATTAATAACATTAACTGTAAAATAGGAACCCAAAGTATATCAGTATGCAATTGCTTAATTCTCTATATTGACATGGTTTTAACTAGCCT